GGAGCTTCTGGCCTCATCGCATCCAGTGCTTGTGAGGCAGTCGGGGTCACCCCACGACTCACCCAAACCCGCCACCTGCATGAGGTCACCTCTTTTGTCCTTCCAGACCCTTCCATGGAGATCAGACGCTGTTGGCTTGAGGTTCTGAAAGACCATCAGAAACCCCTCCTTTACTGTAATACATTAAAGCTGAAACAATGCACGATTCCTTCAGCACGTTATCAATTTTGCAGAACCACAACGACTGCAATTAGAATCCTGACACACACCCAATTCGTTTACAGCCCTGGGATTGTGACAGTGTGACCGACCGAACCAAACAGCGCCAGGGCAAACAGCAGAGCCAACCCCAGCCCTGCCCACCAGCCCACCAAGAACTTAAAACCACCCCACTCAAAGCCCCCCAGCTCCATGAGACCCACTGGAAGAGAGCTGCTCGTGTAGAAGTGCTGTGCCAACTCCTGCGAGCTGCAGGCAGCTTCACACAGACCTCCTTCATCTCATCACTGCACCCTGAGGGTTGTTGGGACCCCAGCCGCCCTCCTTCATCCTCACATTATTCAAAGCACAGCCCAAACCTTCTCGATTGCTACGTTCAGCCATCAGCTGTAATGCTGCCAGGACGTCATACAGCATTTTATATTTTGAGACTGGTGACCACGGCAAGGAGAGCTGAAGTAATTGCTGTCAGTTATTTCTTCACTACAGCAAAGCAGCTCCGCAACCCAATGGAAAGAGGGGTCCATTCTGGAGCAGAACTGGAGCAGAACAGCAGGACACGCTCTACTTTCCACCTTTCATTCTTGAAGCTGTGTTGGAAATCTGAGGGAATGTTTACTTCCACTAATTGAAATTAAAAAGCCATCTCCGTCCAACAACAGCCACGCTGTGCTCCAGCATCACCCTTCAGCCTTTGAAGGGCCGGACAAACCACCACTCCAACTTAGCACCAAAATGAAGAAACCCTAACAAAGGACCAATTCAGAGAAGAAAACCCAGCCAAGCACGTGATGGACGGCTGCGCAGCACCCACTGCTCTGCAGGCAGCTCTGCACCTTCTTGGTGGTGGCACACGAACCCCACGAGGTGACTGCAGGCAAAGCCCAGCTGTGCTGCGCTCAGGGCAGCCAGCAAGGAGCTCAGCGCTCTGTTCCACATCCTACAGCAGCGCCAACACACAGCCACTGCCGCGTCCTGCACAGAACCAGCGGCTCACGTCCAGGAGAGAACCGCAGAGCGGTGCGAGTCGGAAGGGGCCCTCAGAGGCCCTCTGGTCCCACTCCCTGCCGAGCACGGGGACACCCCCGGCCCCAGCAGCGCTCACAGCCCTGCCCTGCCCTCGGGGGGCTGCGGGGACGGGGCAGCGCCGCCTCTCTGTGACCGATCGAAATCCTGCTCTTTTCCTCTGAAGCCACCTCCCCTCGCCCACCGCACAGACCCCGCTATGGACTCCGTCCCCTTCCGTCTTACAGCCCATCAGATGCCAAAGGGAAGAGTTAACGCTGGGATTGCAGCATCCCACAGTCACCTGAACGAGAGCAGAACCAAGTCATCAGCAACGAAGAGGAAGGAAGCTTCTCTGGAGAGCTCAAGTGGAAACTGAAATTCCAGCCCCCCTGAGCAGCTCTCCCTCCTGTCACAACCCTGGTGGTTCCCCCACCCAACGCCCTGCTGTTGCCCCGACCTCCAGCACTGATTTCTGCCCTGTGCTCTGGCTGCCCGCTCGCATCCAGCTCCCAGGAAGGAGGCGTCCGCAAGCCTTGAGCACGCAGAGCTCTTCCCTTTGTGCTCTGCAGCTCGGAGCTGTGACCATCCTGCCATCCTGCCAGCCATCCCATGCTGCAGTCAGGTAGAACAGCACGGCTTCACCAGATGATAATTATACAAGAGTTTAAGCCCAAATCAATGCAAAAAGGGACTAAATTCTGAATTTTTTCCCAATGCGGATCCCGGATGGCACAGCCACACAGGCCAAGCAGAGGCCAGAGCCCCACTGGGACACAGGGCGATTCCCACCCCTTCCACCGGGGAGTTCTGCAAAAAGGCCGACGCAGCCCCAGCTCACCTCCCGCAAACCACCGGATCCTACAGAAACCAACAGCTGAATATTCATCGCGCTCCTGTTTCCAGGAAGGCCAGGAACCACGTCAGGCGCCGGGCCTGAAGGGCTCCCTCTACGCTCCAGGCTGGTGCAGGCGCAGCCACAGGGCCACCGCGGGGCAGGCGGGCGGTGGGAGCCGAACCCTGCACAGCCATGGGGCGCTGTGCCCTCGGAGCTCCGGCCGTCCTCATCCCGCTCCTGAACAGCAGCTCAGCGAATCCATCGGATCATAGAGGGGAGGCTGGCCTTTGTAAGTGGAGATGGAGCGTGCTGAGGACGCAGTTGCAGTCGGTCGCAATTCCTTCAGAGCTGCTCGTCTCTGCCTCTCTAACAGATAACGAAGCTCAGAAGGAGCTTTTATTGACAGGCTTTGGTTTTTGTGTGCAAGCAGATGAGAAACGTAGATGAGATTTTTAAAACAAAACACACAAAAAAAAAACCAACAACCCATCTCCACAGAAATTCTGCTCCGCTCCCAACTGCTCAATGCTGTTGGCAATGCGCGCTCCAAAAAGATTATTCTCCTCAAAAAGATTACATAAGTTCAGCGTTGGCCGGATAATGAAAACCATCTGATCCCCTCCGCCGGGCTCGGGGCACGCAGAGCCTCCCAGGGCGCAGCTCCTCCGGCACAAAGATCCGCACCAGCTCAAGCACCAACTTCACTTTAATTCGGCCGGCCGCCGGCGGGCGGAGCGCGGAGCCGAGGAGCAGCGAGGATCGGCTCCGAACCGCGAGCATCGGCCCGCAAAGCGCCGCGCTGAGCTCGGCCCCGGCTGGGGGAGGTGCGGGGCTCCGCAGCCGTGGCCGTGCCGGCCCGGCTCCGCATCGAGACGAGGAGATCCGCAAACGCTCGGCAATCAGATTTCCGCTCCTCGCCATTCGGGCCGTTTATCCCCGTAACGGAACCGCCGCTCCCGGCCGCGGGGCTGAGATCGAACGGCTCTCGGCAAACGGGGTCAGCTAACAAAAGAAAATCGGAACCGCGACTGCGAGCGCACCGCGCGGCCGGGCCGGGCGACGAGGACGAGGACGAAGCTCACGGCTCTTCCCAGCGAGGATCGCGTTCTAAAATGGTGGCCGCGTCGGCCCGGGGTCTGGCGAGCGGAGCCGGCGGCCGAACTCCGGCCGAGGAGCGCGGGGCGCCGCAACTTGCGCGGAGATTCCCCGCACGGAGAGCGCCGGGCCGGGCGCCGCGGGGCCGGGAGCAGCGCGGAGCGGAGGGCCGCGGCCCCACAATGCCAACATGGAGGGCAGCACCGAGCGCCGCTCCGCTCCGGGGCCACTCGGCCCAACTGCGCTCCGGGACGGCGCCGGAACTTTTGGTGACCGAGTGGCGCGGGGAGGCGCAGAGAGACCTCGGCGGGGAGCGCGGGGCGGCCGGGTCAGAACCGGGCCAACTCCGGCACTCGGAGCGACTTGGAGGCGGCCGGGGGACGGACGGGGGCGGCGAACGGCGGCGGAACGGCCCCGTCCGGCTCCGGGGGCGGCCGAACTTCCGCGCGGCGCCGGGGCGCTCCGGCCGGGCCCGCCTGCCCGGGATCGGCGCCGGAGGTGCGGCTGCGGGCCGGGCCGCCACACAAAGGCCGTTCCCGGCGGCGCCATGCGGGCACTCACCGGCGGCGGCCGCACCTTGCAGATGCCGGTCTGCTCGGCGATGGGCCGGATCTTGTGGATGAAGGCGAAGGGGTCGGCGAACTCCTCCCAGCTGGGCTCGAACACCGGGCACTCGGGCGGGGGCAGGAACTCGGCCATGGCCCGGCCCGGGCCGCGCCGCCACCGCCGCCGACTCGGAACAATCCTCCGACAGCCGCCGGGGCCGCCGAGCGCCTCGAACGGGACGTGCGCGTCCGCCGGGAGGTGGGGGGTGGAAGGGAGGGGGCGGGGGGGCACGAAGCCAGAACGCGAGAGAAAAAGAGTCCGCCCCGGGCTGGGCGGGGGGAGGGGGCGGCGGCCGCCCCGCCCCGTCACGCGCCTTTGTGAGGGGGCGCCGGGCCGGGGTCGTCGTGGGGAGGGGGGCGACGCGGCCCGGGGCCGGCCGAGCTCTGAGCCGCCCCGGCCCCCTCCGCCCCGCTTCCTTCCTAGGCGCGGAACGAGCCGAGCCGCGCGCTCCGAGCGTTGGCCCCGCGCCTTTGTGCGCGCCCCGCGGCCCTCCTGCCCCGCTCCGCTCCCCCCGGCACCGCCGGTTCAGGGAGCGCCCGCGGCCCCGTGCCGCCGCCCCGGACGGCCGCCGGAGCAGCTGCTCGGTGCGGCGCCCCCCGCGCGGAGCCGCTCTCAGCGGGAAAGTCGAGGGGGGTCCCCGGCCGTCGGGCCGCGCGGCGCCGTGAGGGGCGCTGGGCCCGCTGTGTTTACATGCGCGGAGGGATCCGCACAGCTGACGGCCGCCGCTGCCGGCGCTTCTTTTTTTAAAGAGCCTCTCCGCCGCCTCCCGTTGGCTGCGCCGTGGACGCGTCACCGGGGGGCGGGGCCCGAGCGCGCCGCGCGGCCGCATTGTCTGTGCCCGAGGCCGGGCGGCCGCCGCCGGAGGCAGGCGGCATCGTTACGGCGTCGTTACGGCGTCGTTACGGTTCCGTTTGGGGCCTCGCGCGGCGCTCCCATGGTAAAACGGTTCCGCTTCGCAGCCGGAACGCCGCGCGGACCGGTCCCGCCGTCCTCCCGAGCGGCGCAGGCCGACTCAGCGGCGAGACGAGCCGGGGGCTCCGCGACCGCGACGGAACGCGACGTCGGACGGGGACGCGCCCCGAGGCCCGGCGCCGCCCCCCCGCGACGCGGATGGAGGCCCGGCCCCGCCGCGGCTGCAGCGCCGCACGTAGCGCACGTGCGTGCCGGCCCCGCCCCCCCCCCTCCCGTCCGCGCTCCCCGCACGGCGGTGCGGCTCCGCCTCGCTGCCGTTGGTGCCGCTGCCGCCCCGCGCGGCTCCGCCCCGTTCTCGCACACGCGGGTCGCGTCCCGCCCGCTCCTGGGCCCCGTCGAGGCTCCGCGCACGGTACCCACGCCGACCCCCTCTCCACCGCTGCCCGTCCGGCCCAGCCGCCATGTTCGGAGCGCGGCCCTTTCCTGCGGCTCTGCTCGGCCGCAGGCACGAAAGTCCCCTTTTGTTAAGCAGAACCGCGCTCGTGGCCTTAACGAAACACCGACTGCCGGCCAAAGCTTCCTCCCCTCGAGTAAAACCCACGCGGTGCTACCGAAAGCCTCGTGTTACTGCGGAAAGCTCCTCTGCTGCGCTCGATGGGGCGCACGCGCGGTGGAAGGAGATGCCGGAGCAGTTTAATGGTCCCGGCGCCAAAACCGTCTGCAAACAGCGCCTGAACTTTCACCACGTCAGGTTCCCATCCCTCCGTTGTTCCCATAACGCAGGCATTTAATTCATTAAATTGTTTACGGGAAGGAGGAAGTCATAAACTACCCCAACTTCTGCTCCCTGTTTGAGTAAGAAGCTTCCCCAGGTCGAGCCGAACACTTCTCAGCGAATAACCGAAATGGAAGCCGAGTTTAAAGAGCGCATTGAAGAGGCGGGGGGGGCTCGGCTGCAGCCCCCGGCGCTGGGGCTCACCCAGCAGGCAGGCAGGGCCAGCAGACACCTGCAGCACAGATGATGGGCTGAGCTCCTCCCGATGCCTTCTCCTGGCGGAGATGAGCTCAGCCGGCACCGCGCCCTGGCCTCGCCCCGAGGAGCCGCCTGGGCTCCGCTCCGAGCTGACGGCAGCAGCCCCGGCTCAGGGGCGTCCCGCGCGCTGCCCGCTGCTGTTGTGCCGCCGCTGTACCTGCAGCTGGGAGCAGAAGCGGCAGCAAGTCCAGGCAAACGGGAGTCTCAACCTATTTACGTAAAGTACAGCACAGCTGTTTTGTGCTCTCATTTTTACACCGAGGGAATCTCCAGCAGCAGTCACCTCATACAGCAGGGAGAAAACTGAGCTGCTTCCTCACCTTCAGAACAGCTGCTCTGTTCCACACCCAGAACTCAAGGGTCCCCAGCGGGGAGAAGAAAGCTTTGAGCAACACGACTTCTGTGGCCGTGCCAAGGTCAAGGATGGGGAAACATTCCTGCATGTCAGAAGGCACCAAAGCCCTGTTGGGGATGAGCCCCCAGGGCTCCTTCCGTCGGAGCCATGGTTAGAAGGGCCGTGTTTAGAAGCACCATTTCTGCTAATAGAATCAGGTGCAAAGTCTCCTGTGGGAAAAATACAATGCATACAATGCAGGTACTTTACAGTGGAAGTTATTACAGGGGAAGACAAAAGCACTGCAAAGATCTTAAGGTGATCAGAGCAGAGAGGAAAGTTAAAATGACCCCCAAAATAACAAGATTGCCCTTGGAGGGAAGGTGAGGGGTCCAGGTCTGAATACCCACAGGCATCTCATCATCCTGCGTGCTGCATAACACAAAGTGCTCTGCTGTACTCGGCGGGTTGGTGGCACAGCACTGCCTGACTTCAGAATCATCTGCCCTGGATTCTGATAAAGCAGCACACCTTACAGAAGAAAAGGCAGATTCCTCCCAGTTGAAATGAAACCTTCTTGAAGGGTTTGGTAGCCCTATTTGCTTCCAAGGATGTGCTGCTATAGAACTGAATGGTACAGCAAGAAGGGGCAAACAAGAACAGGAGCTGCTAGCAAGAAGCAGGAGCTCAGCCAGAGAGGAAGGCATCCTGAGTGCCAGCAGCCTCAGCTGCATCCCAGAGCACAGAGCTCCAAGTGCAGCCTGGTCCCACGGCACCCTGAGCCCTGGGACAACGGGAGCACCGGGAACTGAGGTGAGCTCTAGGAAAGATGGGAGCCCAGGGCTCTGAGCAGACAGATACCTGCAGCTCTGGGCACTGAGAAACCTGAACTGCTCCCAGAGACTCAGAAATCACAACAGGATGCTGACATCCCAGGAACTGCGCTGTGGGGTCACCAAGCAGCAGGCTGGGACAGAGCCCTATGGATCCAAGGCAGTGTCACCCTGCGGTGCCCAGAGAGGCTCCGTACCACATATGAGCCTATAATCAGCTTTTGGCCTTAAGTCACAGATAAGCGAACTCCACTGAAGCCAAAGCACTCCTTTCAACAGCAGATTTCTGCCCTATTAAAATACACATTCACAGCAAAAGGCGGGGAGGGAAACATGCTGAGCCTTTCAGCTCTTTAACAAAATAGATTCCTGGGAACAAACAGATTTAGTAAGCAGGATGTATGACAGATCAAACCAAACCAGTTCACCTGGGCAAACCAGCCACACGTACGAGCCTGCAAAGCAGTCTTAATTTCACCACCAAGGCTAGGAAAGGGTTTTACATTTTCCAGAAAGCCAGCTGCTCCGAGATACTGATGCACGTCAGTCTTGGAGTAAAACATTCAGTGTTAAGCTACCCCAGCCTCGGGATCCTGGTTAGGAATATGGAGGGATCTGCTGAGCAATCCCGGACATTTCATTAACACAGCTTGCAGATGTTGCACTGACTCCTGCTGTGGTGCCAGGGATGCAGACTGTTTGGCTTGTTTTGCCTTGGCTGATTTGAGTCCCAACAGCAGCATTTTCAATGGATAACAACGGGAACTTTGCTAGCAGCTTCTGCTACAAGAGGGGAGAAGCAGCAGTTTCAATACCTCAACACTTGGTGCTTTTTCCCCCAGAAGCTGTGCTCCAAACCCCTGCCCTGCCGTGTGCTGGCTGACAACACGCAGGCTTCACATCTGCGGTGCCTGCCGCGCTCGGGGAAGCCTAACAAGCACCACAAGCTCTTAACTCTTCAGGCTGCAGGCTGAACGTGTCAGCTACAGGAAACCACGCGGAGGGGCCGCGCCGAAGGGGCAGGCAGGAAATCTGAGCCCCGTCTGTGGGCTGCGCCGAGCCGAGCGAGGACGGAAGTCCCCCAGCTGCACAGAGCTGCTGGCCGGGCTGCGTGAGCAGCAGGTAAAGGCAGATGGGGAGCAGCTGGGATGCTCAGGTATGGGAAGCCCTTCACAGTTGTGCAACTCCCCTCAGCTTTACTTTCATTAATGAAGTCTCCAAAGTCTCATACCCTCTCATTAGCTGCCATTAAAGGCTGAAGAGTCTTACTCCAAATCCAGGGCCAGACTACCGTAGGCACAAGGATAAGCAAAGCAGCGCCGTAGGAAGCGCGGCAGAGGCAGAGCTGAGCTTCACACGCCTCCCTTCATCTCCAGCAGCTGCTGACTCACCCAAATTACAGCTGTACCTGCTTGCTAACAGCACCGCCTGCTCCAGGCAGGACGTGCCAAGGGTGGGAAGCTTCTGGGTAAGTGTGGAGGCTGATGAGGAGCAGCCACCCGTGGAGCACTTGGGGAGCCGGCGAGGGTGAGGCCCAGCTCATTATCTTAAGGGTAGTTCTAAAGTAGGTCAGAGAAATCTAACCCTAAAATCCCCCCTTTGCATCGGCTGTGAAGGGAGCCATGGGTGACAAGCTCAGGTCTGGACCTCAGCATCGAGGAAAGCGACTCAGCCACGCAGCCCCTGCAGCACAGTGGGCTGAATGGAAAAACACAACCTGCCGTGATGCTCAGAGCTACAAAGCACATCTTTCTTAAAAAGGAAAGGGTAACTGCAGTGAAACAAAGCTCCATCGCAACCGTTCCCCCGAGTATCTGAACTCAGCTGTGGTTTCTGCATGGGTTGAGTGGAAACAGCAATAAAAAACCCACTGAGGAGCCCGTCCCTCCTGCCAGCCGTGCAGAGCCCACTATCACAGAGCACAGGCACGTTGCTGCGCCCCAGATAAACCCACTGCCCTCTGCTCAGTGACGCTGCACAGGCCCAGGCAAGGAGAGAAGCCGATCTGGTAATAAACATTAATTAAAGCTTACAGCAGAGAAACGATGACGAACTACTAGTCGGGTTCCAAAAGGCAGATGTGCACAATCATTTAAGCCCTCATCAGTCACTAAAAAACACTAAAAATGAGTCTAAGAGCAGACAGACGAGTAGTCAGAATGAGGTTGGGTTCCAAGCCACCATCATTCACAGATGGAGAGCCCTGGAAATATCACTTACAAAGAGGGCATAAGCATGGAGCAATGGCTGCAGATTGCTCAGATACGTTGGAGGATGTGTAAGAGCTGCATGAATTAAAGCAGAGGAAAATATTTCAGATAGTATTGCTGATAACACCGATGACATGAAATGGCCAAGGTAGCAAGAAACCACATGAATCACAACCAGGCAGAATGATGCAGAATCTGGTTGATGGCAAGGAGGCTTAGAGGCAGCTGGTGAGCCAGAAGGCATCTGAAGGAGAAAGATTGAACAACCTGGCAATGGAAAGAATTTAATAAACTCCTCAAATAAACACAAATCAGACCCCTCAGAACGCACTGCATTTGGAGGGCCTTTCAAACGGCTTTTCCAGAAATCTGGACTGCCCTGGCTTCCCACATCCATCTCCACAACCCTGAGCGCCTGGCAGATGATACAAAGCTTCCAGAGCATCTTTTGCAAGGGAGTGCAGGACTGGACAAGAAAATCAGCTGCCAGCGGCAACAAGCAGAACTGTAAGGCTTGCTCCTGATCTGCCAGCACCTGCAGTGGCCCAAACATGGCAGTGTTGGCTCTCGGGAGCTTCAGAAGCATTCTGCAATAGACACACGTGAGTATTTAATGCAGCCGATCAAAAATAAACAAGGTCTAAATCAACGTGCAGACAAGCTGTCCCTCTCAGCATTAGCAAGCAAATTTAATACACAGACACACTCAGCAGACACCAAATAGTTGTAGGCACTGCAGATAATGAAGGCAGCGCACATATGCTGCAATAGACAAAGCTGGAACTTAAACACACTGTTGATATCTGTAACAGCAGTGAACAAGTAAAGAAACAGCCGGAATTTGAAAACAGGAAGATAAACACTAAAAAGCAAAAAGAATAACACAAGAAACAGAAGTACTTTGTGTAGAAGGGCCAGGAACCATCGCCTGAATGGTGAGATGATCCAAGGATGAGGCAGCCCTCCACTGCTGGGCGCCATATGTGCTGGCTGCAAGACATTCACACTTCCCAAAAGTATCTGTGGACAACAGCAGGAATGGTTCTATAATGCACTGAGACGTGACTGGGACACTTCCACTGATGCGAGCACGTGCTTCTGCCTGCCACATCTACACTCCATTTAAGTTGTGAAGATCAAAGACAGAAACCATTTTGCCCCAGTCAGCACCAGTAGTAGAGGCTCAGCTCAGCTGCAGCTGCCCCATGGCACCCCAAGCTTCCCTCCTGCCCGCCGTGGCACTCAGGTGACCCTGTGCTGAGCCACCAGAGCTCATGAAGCTGAGAGAGAGCTTTGTCCTTCTTCCTGCCCCAAGGATGGATTAATTTTCTTATCTACTTAACACAAAAACAGCATCAGAGCAGCATGAGCGCAGAGGCGAGACCGCCTGGTGACAGGAGTGCCAGGGAGATGGGATGCAGCAGTTAGCAGTTCAGGCTGTCCCACAACAGCAGGCACAGACAGAACTGAAAGCAACTCCGTATGCAACACAGCTCTGACAGTGCAGAACCGCATGAAATCAGCTCCAGAGCCGCTGGAGGAACAATGGCTTTACAGAAGTGTTTCAGCATCTTTCAAACGCTGCCTTCCTGCAGCGCTCGCCCACAGCAGGTTCTGCAAACCGCTTTGAAATAACCAAAAAGCCGCAGACCCTCGGTGCTGCCAGACGAAAAGCAGCCCCTGCAAGTGGCGATGGCACAAGTCTGCAGTGTGTGAGAGCTGCAGCCATAGAGCTCTGACAGAAATGACAGGGAGATGCCTGAGGTCTTGGCAGCCTTCAAGAACACGGCTTGGAATTCACTCCCACCATGAAGCGTCGCAGTGTGCACCTCCAGCAGCCACCACTGAGAAAGCAGCCTGAATAAACATTGACAGCAGCCTTGTGGAGGCCTCTGTCTCACAGGAACAAAGCAGTGACAAAAAAGGTGCAGTGAGCACAGGCAGGTGGAGTTTGAGATGCTTTGGCAAAGGATTGATCTGGACTGAACACCTTCAGGAGGCACGGACTGCAGAAATCATCCGCATCGCTCCAGGACCGGCACCTGGAACAGAGGGAAGTTGTCTGTTCTGTTCCCTAACCCTGTAGAAGAACCCTCGACACCCAGCCCTTACTACAGATAACTCAGGTCTAATAAATGGAGAAATGAATCTAACCCACCAAACAAGGCACAGGAATTTGGCAGTTCTGAACTGCCCAGGTACCTCCTTCACCCACCTCTGTTCGATGAACTGCTGACAGCAAAGCTCAGCAAGGGGTTTTCAAGCAGCAATATGCAGGGAACAGCAACAGCCCTGCTCCATTTCAGCCCTGCTCCATTTCAGCCCTGCTCCATTTCAGCCCTGCTCCATTTCAGCCCTGCTCCATTTCAGCCCTGCTCCATTTCAGCCCTGCTCCATTTCAGCCCTGCTCCATTTCAGCCCTGCTCCTGGCTGCAGGCTCGGTTACCCTTCCTCTGTACCTTCCAAGCTCTGGCCACGCGCAGCTCCTATACAAGACACAGTATCTCTATCTTTAATAGACTTCTTCCTAAACTTCTAAGACTTGGAAAAGAAATATGAACTCAACATCAAAGACATTGAGAAAAAAATAACTTATGAATTTTTAGGTTTACACAAAACTTCAGCAATAAAGTGAAAACTGCCCTGTTTAGAGGATCTCTGCACTGTAACTATGCACAACTGAAGTTCTGCCTTTGTGAAGCATGCCCTACGTAAGAGAAAACACGACCTTGTACAAAGGCACAAGTCCAGGCTTCTGTAGTTAGCAGCACTGCAGTTCAGATGGCAAGATCTGTCTGCTGTCTGCAGGCTTGGCTGAAAATGGCAGCTCACCTTGCGCTGCCCAGGGATAAGCAGTACTGCAGCAGAGGGCTCAGCAAGGCTGAAGGCTGCAGGCCTGGGACAAGGCGACTCAACCACCTACAAGTGCACGGCAGCAAAGCAGTGAGCTGATGCTGCTGCTCCCCCAGCTCTGCCAGTCATTCCAGATTTTCTGCAATGAACAACTGAACTGCCACCGAGGTGCTGTTCTGCGACTCCCCTTGCTGCCACACAGCAGCAAAGGCACGAGGTGAATCAGAGAATCCTTAATACCGAGTCCATCCACACAGATAGCGCTCACTTATTGCCTCACTCAGAGGCAGTGGGTGGAAATGAAGTTGTTGCCCTGCATTTCCCTGCAATGGCACCAGAAGCAGCTTGGGACAGACCTCCCAGCCACGCAAAGGTGCCTGCTCACTTCCTCCTCTTCCTCTCCGTGAGTCAGCGTTGCCCTATCAGGTCATGGCCACTGACTGCCAATCTCAGCACTGGAGGAAAGCTGTGTCACCACAGGTAAAGGTATATTTAGCTCCCATCAGGTAATGCCTGCTCCGACAGGCACACGGCTCCTTCTGAGCACAAGTAGGGGATGCTTCTTATCTAATGAGGCGCATTCGGCAGCATCTCCCTGCTGTAATTACCTCTGCTTTACGTCTGATCTTCACTTGCTGTGAGTTATGACTACACTGAGGGTTCAGTGCTCACCAGTTAATGCAATGTTTCTCAACACTGCTACCAAGCAAAGCAGCGCACGATGCAGCCTGGATGCAGGGCGCTTGCAGCCTGAGCCCAGTGGTGAACAGGTGACAAAGCATCCCCTGTTCAACCCGTCAGTGGCAGCTTATCATTTTTCTACTTCTATTAAAACAGCACACGCTGTTTTTAACACGTGAAAGCAGGATGCATTCAGACCCAATGAGCACAGTGAGATGCCCCAGCTGGATCCAGGTTCTCAGAGAACTCAGACTCCACTTGCTGAGCCCTCACAGCATGCTGTGCAGCAGCTCATCCATGGCTGCGTGCCGCACAGGGAGCACTGGCATAGCGCAAGGCAGCTCCCATCACGAGGGGAGCGGTGTCCTAAGAAAGGGAATCCTGGCATACAGTAAAGCAATGAACTGCAGCAGCAGGAGGCTGCAGGCAGGCCTCACAAAACCAAAAGAATCCCAGATAGGAAGGTGACAAATCACTGCTGAAAGCCCGCGCTGAAGGTCAGTTCAGGAAAGCACTGCCTGCACCCCAGCACACAGGTTCTAAGGACAGCCGTGGCGCTGGCACCAGCAGTCACAGGGCCTTCACAACCTGAGTCTGAGGTCCTAAGCCAAAGCCCTCAAACCTGTAAGGCATGCAGCAGCCTCCTCAAGCACTGCTCACGGCATTGCCAACACATTAGAAGTCTGAATACATGCAAGGAAATGAAGTCTGTCTGACTTGCAATGAGTGCATCTGCCTCCTGGGCTACATCTAGCACATTTACTTAATTAGCTAATCAACAGGAAAATAAGTTGTCAAGAGGACTCTGAATACTCTACAGTTGGTCAGTGTCTTTCCCTGATCTCTGTTTCATTCTGAGTCCACATCAGACACTGCAGCATTATTTGGGTACCGTAGGTTTCCTTACACAGAATGTAAGGCGTTTTTCTTACCACAGCCCAGACTCCTGCCAAGCAGGTATAACTCACCTTCATCAGCTAACCCAGGCTCCAGGCTTAGCCTAAATCATGTTTATCAAGTCAGAAGGAAAACAAGTAAGGTTGAAATAGGACTGGGAGTTATTTTCCACTCAAATCCAGTCTCTTACAGACTGTGGCATCGTGTCAACATCAATATTCAAGCACCATGACATGTTTGACTATTCTCCCTTTACAACTTCCGTGGGAGAGATTTAATAACCACCCACCTAAGGCAGAAATGGAAATAGGTTATTTGGGGATCACTGTGCTTTGTGTTCCCAAGCCTCCACCCAGACCACGCAGAATGTTTCAGAGGTATTCTCATCTGC